ATGACAAATAAATTTCTTATGTCTTATGTCTTATGTCTTAAGATCCAAAGGCATTCTGCTATCCTAACATAAATCCTTGATTAGATGGACAGCCATACTAGTCTGTGTGGTATGTGGTTCTCTGTGATTTTCAACACTCTGAACAAGTTTTCCAGTTTTTGCAGGGGGTGTATCTTCAGAGTCTCTGCTTTTATCTGAAGCTGTACTTGACTTTGATCCTAAACACACTACAGTGAACAGTTGATTTAATTTTCATGTTCTTTTAATGTAATAGCTTTCGTCCATCAGACTCCACAGATCTAATTAATGTCTCATTTGTGTTCAAAATTTTAAGACACACTTTACAATAACTTTTGCATTTGTCTTCAGTTATATCAGAAGCTTTTTCTTGGTCCCACCACCTTCATGGGTGCATTTGATGGATACAAGGGAAAGGGCCTTCTCTGTTGCTGCTCTCAGATTTTGGAACTCCTTCAGAAAGGATACCAGGCTAGACCAATCTTTACTGTCCTTCTGCAAGCAGGTGAAGATCTTTCCCTGAGTGACTGGTTGCCTGAGTGAGGTTTTTAAATGGATTGTTGCACTTTCCTGCTCTGAATGTGTTTTGGTGTTGATAAGGGAATACTGATCAAATTTGCAGATGACACAAAATTGGGTGGAATGGCTAATACCTTGGAAGAGTGGAAAAAATTCAAAAAATCTTGATAGGCTTGAGGACTGGGCTGAAAACCACAGAATTAAATTTAATAGAGATAAGTGCAAAGTTCTACACCTAGGGGGAAAACCAAATGCAGTTATAAGATGGGGGATATTTGGCTCAGTAATATTACAAGTGAGAAGGGTCTTGGAGTTGTTGTATATCAAAAATTGACTATAAGCCAACAGTGTGATCCAGCTACAAAAAAGGCAAATACTATTTAAGGATGCATTAACAGAAGTATAGTCTCCAAATCCCGGGAGGTACTAGTTCCCATCTATTCAGCACTGGTTAGGTCTCCTCTAGAGCACTGTGTCCATTTCTGAACACCACACTTCAAGAAGGATTCTGACAAATTGGAACAAGTTCAGAGGAGGGCAACAGGGATGGTCAGGGGGCTGGAAACTGAGCCCTGTGAGGAAAGAATTTAAAAAAACTAGGCATGTTTGGCCTTGAGAACAGAAGACTGAAGGGATTTATGATAGCAATTTTCAAGTACTTGAAAAGTAGTCATACAGAGGAGGGGCAGGATCTGTTCTCAGTCATCCCAGAGTGCAGCACACATAATAATGGGCTCAAATTATAGGAATCCAGATTTAGGCTGAATATTAGGAAAAACCTCTTAACTGTTGGGCCAATAGGACAATGGACTCAAATTACCTCAGGATGTGGTGAGTAGAGTTGGGGGTATTAATAATCGTATACGAATATCCCCCACAGGTGGAAATAACGAGGATCCGGCCCCATGGGGCTGGACTGTCCACTCACCATTCCGCCACTGACTCGAGCTTGATGGAACCTTCATATCGTGCAATAGATTAGCCACTCCTGGCAGGAGGCAGGAAGACAAACCCCTCTTCCAGGTCGCAGAGTGGCCATTGCGGACAACGGCGTGATAGGAAGGCTCTGTCGATCTCGCGTCAGTAGCAGAATGGTGAGTGGACAGTCTGGCCCCATGGGGCCGGACCCTCATTATTTCCACCTGTGTGGGGATATTCATATACAAATACTCCATCTCTAGTGGTGAGTGCTCCAACACTGGAGGCATTCAAGAGACAACGATCTGTAAAATCTACTTCAACTTGGATTTCTGCATTGAGCAGGGGGTTCGACTCAATGGCCTTATAGGCTCTTTCCAACTCTATGATTTGTTTACTGTTTTTCAGTTTGATATTTGTTTGATTTTTTATTTGCATTATAGGAGGTCTCTCCGCATAACATACCTCACAGGGTTGTCATGAGCACCATGGGTGCTGTCTTCAGCAACTTGAACAAGAGGCAGAACCAAAAACTACGTCTCACTTAGGCTTCACCCTAAACATGCAGGGAGAGTAACCACTGAGTAACAAGGCAGTGCCTGGCCAGCACTTCTCCCCATGCCCCTCTAACTGCTCTTGACTCATGATGAATGCCTCAAAATAGAGCTGTGGACATGAGGGTTCCTCCTGGGAGTTGTGGACATGAGGGCTCCCCCTGTGGACATGAGGGCTCCCCCAGCCTCAACCAAATCCAACCCATTGGTTTGCAGGGCTAATTCTGGCCTGGATATCTTCCCCTTTCCCTGGGACCTATGAGCATATGGGATTGCCTCACTCAGTCTATCTGAAATACAATACAAAGACATGACATGAAAATTCTATTTGCATTCATTTTATATTCTACTTCTCCTCTAAGCTGTTGAAGACAACACCCATGATCCTCACAACAAGCCTGGTTATGTAGGGAGATCTCCAATTTACAATTGTAGGTGCAAGCTCATCTAATACTCTTCACTGGAGAGATCCCCAGTTCACAACTTTGGGGCCAAAATCAGCTAATGGTCTTCATAGGAACAAGAAAACTGCTATATCTAATGCCAGCAACTGAATCCATGGTAGAAGTGTAATGCCACCTCTGCTAAAAAAGTGTTTCTGTCTCCCCACACTGCCTCAAAATGTAGATGTAGACTCCAGCTCCTTAACATGCATAGTAGCAACTGCCATAATATAAAAGAAAGCAAAGCAAAACTAAACTAAACAAATTAGCATAAAATGACATTTACTTTTTAGTTCATTTCATATTCCACTTTTCCTCAAAAGCTGCTAAAGCCTTTTAGAGTCCTCATAAGAAGACTGTTGGATAGGCTACCTATAGACATCTTCCATTTACAATTTTGGGGCAAAGTCATATATTACTCCAAGAACCAAGAAATTAAATGCTACGTCCAAGGCCAGCCAGTGAATCAATGGTAGAAGTATGAAACCACTTCTGTTGAAAAGAGGGTTCCATGCTCCTCTGCCCGTGTTAAATGCATCATACTGCAGATGCACACTCTGATGCCAGAGCAGAATCAAACTAGATTTTGGTATAATAGTTAGCAGAGAAACATTCAGATAGTATATGATTTTCCTTTAGTTACTCTTCCCTGCACCCCTTCACTATTGATCTAGCAGATGGGCAGCTAAGGAATGTGGCCAAGGAGGAACCAGACAATAATAGTCAGAACATTACTAGCAGGGGAGCCCAGGAAAGTCTACACATAGACATATCAAAAGATAAGATTCCCCCCCAGACATTTAGATGCTTCCTGAGCATAAGCAAAGAACACATGAGCACACAATCTGGTAGCCAATCAGTTAATTTAATTGCCATCACTACTCAATGAGGAACTCAATGAGGAATCCAAAGTTGGGATACAAATGACCAATAGAATTGTAGTACTTTTACTGCTCTTTGTCTGTATCATTATAAAACATGTGTACACTGTATTTTCAGGATCTTCTCTGCTTTTAAAAGAAGTCCCAGCTGACCTTCTTTTTGCTGCTATTCAAATAAAATTGGGTGTTTGTTTCAGCTGTTTGCATCTATGCCTGATTCTTTGCCAGAGAATTTTAGTACGCAGATTTGGCTGGTAACAACTCCAGATCTCACCCTAGACACCCTTCTCCCACAAACCACTCCACAGAACAACCACTAGGTGACAGGATAGTTTGATCAAAGGACTCCTGGACATTACCAGCAGGTACAGTGGCTGGCTTGCCACTACTTTGCCATATGCCTCTGCCATCCCAAAGCCAGATGATGGGTTTGAAGTTATTGTGTATGGATCTCTGGGGTCCTGAGCAGGAAGGCCAAACAGCCTTTGGGATTCCATAGTGACCTTGGCTGGCCTACTTTTCTAGCTGTCCTCCTCATCTACCCTTGTAGAAAGGCACTGAATTTTCCACCCTGCTACACTGGTATAATGGCAGAAATTTCAATAAAACAAACTAAAATAAAATAAAGGAAATGAAGTCATGTTTACTTTTTAGTTCATTTTATATTCCATTTTCCCTCCAAGCTGTGAAAGGAATCCTCACACTAACCTTGGGAGGTAGAAAGATGAACAACTTTGGGGCAGTCATCTGACAGAAGCAGAATCCCTTTGCAAACATGAATCCCCAAAAGCTTGTCAGGCCAGGAAGGAGTTAAAAAGTTCTCATCCTGAGAGTCAGCTAACTGGATCCTGACTGACAGATGTTACAATTCAGATTGCCCCTGATGTGGCATCAATTCTCCCTTTGAAGACTTATGTAGGACACTGGTCTCAGAAATTCTGAGACAATGTTTGCTGATATTACTAGGATAAGACACAATTGTTATGGACTTTTGTAATGTAGGGGGGAGTACTTTGCATGTGCCTTAAAATTGTATGATAATTCCTGGAAGATACATAGCAAAATGTCTCCCTTTCTGAAGTACTGTCACTCAGTTATAAACAAATTCATTTTTACTTCTTTCGTAATAGCTGTGAACTTTAATTGACCTATAATTTTCCCCATTCACTAAGACACAGTCTATCCTTTCCTAAAGTACTTCCTGGCAAGTCTGTACCACAAATTCTTAGTGCTACAAGAAATTGCTGTTTCTCCTATTTTAGAGGCTTTTCCTGAGGATCAATATTTCAGCTCCTACTACAGCCTTGATTTTTTCCAAATAAAGGAAGGTGTGTGGGCCAACAATTCTCTTTCTAGATAAGCAAGACTGATATTTTCAAGTTACATGAACTATTTTAAATATCACATAGCTTGGGGTTGCCTATTTCTACAGGATGGGGAAAGCAATTTTACTTTAAAAAATCATAATGTGAAAACCTTTTGCCCAAATGTCCCCAAATTTGGTACAGATGAAGAGCAGTCTGTTACAAGTGTGTCAAATTTAGTTCTGATTCAAAGCCCAGTTTAAAAGTTACAAATTTTTGTTTGAGCTACCCCAATTTTTAGAATTGCCTTGTAGAATGTTGATTTGCTCTGCCACACAATATTATCATTGCAGCAATACTTACAGAATCACCTGTCTTGGCTGACACAAAATGGCTGCTAGAATGGTTTTCTTGGCAAAATCGAAGATGTTTATCAACTTTTACTGCACGCAGATGCTCTAAATCAACTTTAAAAAATTGGAGGGAAGAAAAGAAAAAATCATGTCAGAATGCTTACTCAGAAATCTTGAAATTTATTTTCCATGAATCATCAATGATAGGTCATACTGTGACTGAATGTTAGTCATATCCAGCTCACTACTGCTCTTTTATTTCTTCTTTGGAAACAATGAAAGAGGAAAGAGAAGGAGAAAAACACAAGATGGAATAGAAATGAAAGTGAAAGCAGTCAGAAAGGAAAACAATGCTAGGCAATTGCCTGCAATGAGTCAATTTCAGCAGATTTAGATTTTCCCATCCTTCCATAACAAGTGGACCATAGCAGAAGAACACAGGAGAACTGTCCTCCTTTGTGTCTGGTTTCCACAGAGAAAGAGGGGGAAAGGCACAGATCAATAGCAGTTAAAAGGGGTGGGTGGGTCATGACTTGCAGACTTACATTAAAAAGTGAAAACCTCAAGGGTTTATACAACACTACTGAGTAACTACCGTGTTTCCCCGAAGATAAGACAGGGTCTTATATTAGTTTTTGCTCAAAAAAAGCATGAGGACTTATTTTCAGGGAATTTTTTCATGTACAACAATCTACATTTATTCAGGTCCAGTCACGTCATCTTCTTCTGGTTGCTGCACAATAGTGGAGGGCAGGGTTTCACTTAACTGAGGCTTATTTTTGGCAGAGGGCTTATATTGCGAGCATCCTGAAAAATCATACAAGGGCTTATCTTCAGGTTAGGTCTTATTTTCAGAGAAAGAGGGTATTTTGCTTTTAAAGTAACATTATTCAAGCATTAAGCCTGGAAATAAGTGGCCAACAGGACCATACAACTCCCTACCCAATCTGGACATCAAGCAGTCTGCAAAGGAACTTGTTAGTTTAGCTTACAATCTTATTATAAATAACTACTGGAGTTCCTGATCACAGAAATGCTATTAAGTGTACTGAGCTGAATGCACTTATAGAGTACCTCTACAAATCTTTATAGTAAGCAAGGAATGGTGTGCCATGCTTTCAGGTGGATGGAGACATGGGGGCAGGGCTTATTTTCATTCTCCCGTCACCACTGTACACTTATCCTGATACATTTTCAGGTTTAATGGCTGATTAAAGCTGTTATGTTCAGGACGCAAGTAACACATAAGTTACTTGAATCTTGACCATACAGGTTTTGCTTTTGTGCTTCTAAAGCAGCAATCCTCCGCATGTTCCAATAGAACAACCTTTTAAATTGAGATTTTCCAAAGTAATATCCCACATATAATACTTGCCATTCAAACAAAATCAATCAGTCTCATGTACACTTAAATGTATATTTCAATCCTTGCCAAAATATTTGAAGATTTCTAATGAATAATTGTTGTAAGCGGCCCAGAGACCTTTGGGTAGAGTGGGAGGCATATAAATTAAATAAATACATAAATACATAAATACATAAATACATAAATAAATAAATATACTGTTTCACTGAAGATCCACACACAAAAATCATGTTAGGTAGCAGATTTATCCTGGATCATTTTGCTTTTATCCAGTTTCAGTTTTGGTCTAAATTAAAAGACAAAATATCAGACAAAAACCCTAAAAACAAAAGAGGCAAAAACATAATGACATTTTAGGGACTGACTGCTATTTTATTTACATTTTTGTCTCTTGGTTTTTTTATTTTTTGTTTTTATTTTTTTGTCTGATATGATTGCATAGACTAACCATCTATTTCTTTGAAAACTAGAATTATTAAAAGAATGATTCAGCAAAGGCTCATTCAGTCAAGAATATGACTTTGCTTTACTTGTTTTCATAGAATCACAGAAAACTGAAGTTGGAAGGGGTCTACAATGCCATCGAGTCCAACCCCCTGACCAATTCAGGAATACAATCAAAACATATCTGCCAGGTGATTATCCAAGTTTCTCTTGAAAGCCTCCAATGGAACTGGTTACCTCACCAACTCCCAAGGTAACCAGTTCCACTTTTTTCACATTCCAGTCCACAACTGCTAATGCTTGTAGTTTCTACATCCAACCATGGTTCTCCCATAATGCTTTCCTTTCTCGACTTTGCCTTTCTTCCCCTCCTGATTCAGCCATAGCAGAATGAACAAACTGATAACTACAAATCCTAATGTGCAAACCACAAAAGAGGGAGACTTTAACTTTGGCACAATAGGCTTGATCCTTTCATAAACCAAATGGTTACTATCCCACAAAACTGCACCAGAGCACAGACAGAGTTCTGACTCCTGTCCTCTGAAGATGCCAGCCACAGAGACTGGCAAAATCCTAGGAAGAAAAAACTCAAAAATATGGCCAGACAGCCCGAAAAAACTACAACAACCATCGGACCCCCGCTGTGAAAGCCTTCGCGAATAGAATGGTTTCTGTTTATTCCTGGCCAAGTGGGGGTGGGAGGAAGAGAATTCATTACACTTGGCTCCTTTCTCAGGCATGCAGTGTGGGACAAGAGAGGGCTGCAAGAGCAAAACTCTCCTGGCAGCAGAAATAATGGCTGTACTTACTGTTTTCTTCCATTAAAATTGAACATGCCTTTTATTTTCAAGTTTAAATTTGTTTTACTTTGCTTTAATTTTTAGTTATACAAAAGACATATAAAAGAGAAAAAAACCCTAAAATACTCTTAAAATTAAGAATATATTTAAAATTAAACAGTAACAAACCTTTTTTAAAAAGTAGTTTGATACAGCTACATGATTCATAAATGACAATGTCAGTATTTCTGCACTACTCTCAGGTATACAAACATTTGTAGCTTCTTTAAGCATGTATAAGGAGACATCATATCTCCTTGTGGGAATGATTCCCCATGTTCCTTGCTGTTTCAGTGTGGCTCTGCCTCTTTTCCCACAAGCCATGATTCAACTACTGCATGGGCCAGGGAGCAGACTGTTAGAAACTGTATAGCAGTCACTCAGTGCTATTCCAACCACTGCTGGATGCTCCTGTTAAAATTCCTGTTAAACATGTATGTGTGTCTTTGGTGGTGGGGTTCATCCCACTAATGTCATATTGGATCTCCATCTATACATTTGTCTGCTTTTTTACATAAATTTATTATTCAATTCTTTTTAAAAAATCAGTTTATGAATGTGGGTTATTGTGCATCTCTAGCTATGAATCAAAAACCCAGGAAACAGCTCAGTAATGCTGCACAATATTGTTCCCGCATTGCCACCAGGAAAAAAGATGCCAAACTTTACATGGCAAATGGCAGCCTGAATGTTGCCAACACCAATGGCAGCAGTCACAATGGTCTACAGCAGTGGTTCTTAACCTTTGTTACTCGGATGTTTTTGAACTGCAACTCCCAGAAACCCCAGCCAACACAGTTGGTGGTGAAGGCTTCTGGGAGCTGCAGTCCAAAACTCCTGAGTAACCCAAGGTTAAGAACCAGTGGTCTACAGCACTGGTTCTCAACCTTGGCTTACTCAGGAGTTGTGGACTTCCACTCCCCGAAGCCTTCACCACCCACTGTACTGGCTGGGTTTTCTGGGAGTTGCAGTTCAAAGCCATCTGAGTAACAAAGGTTGGGAACCTAGGGTCTGCAGGATATCCTCTTCTGTGCAAAAGCACTCTCTGGATGGTTCACAATATAATTATGCAACGAACATTTTGTCTCCCAGTGAGTTGAGCATTTTACTTACCTAATGATGTACGGCTGAGTCAACCTTGAGCTGGCTACCTGAATCCATCAGGATTGAACTCAGGTCATGAGCAGTTTTCATAGGACAAGTATAAAACTCTGTGTTTTCCATACTGATCCACTGTTCCATGTCTCACAACTCATAACACAGTAGCAGTTCTTTATTTTCTTATATATTCCATTTGCCAGCTCTCTGACATTTCCTGCTCTCAACAACAATCATGCCTGCATAAAAATATACACTTTTGCCTTTGTTTGGCACACAGTTCTCCTCATGATCTATGTGCTCCTGTTTGAATACCTTCAAGATAGGACCTGAGTGAGAGAGGGCGGAGCAATAGCAGCGAGAGCACAGGGAAACCCAGGGCTCCGGGAAAAACCTCTGTAATCTCTGGTTTGCAGACCCTCAGAAATGAAAGGGGGCAAGGTCTTGCAGGAGAGTAAGCCTTGCTGTGTAGGAGGGTTGGGGAACCCCAAATTTCAGATAGCAATAAAGACATTACCTGTAACCATAATTCTTTGAGTGGTCCTCTGTGAATTCACACATATGGGTCTTGTCTGCACCTGCGCTGACTTTCTCGGAAGATTCTAGAGCTAAAAGTAACAACTTTAGGGTGTGATCTCACATGAGGTATATGCTCCTCCCACCTACCATCTTCCCCTGTTCCAAACTTTTATCCACTGGATAGAGAAATATAGTATAATTAACCTGTGATGGATTGAGGGAAAGATGTGTGGGTTGTGTGAATTCACAGAGGACCACTTGAAGAACTGTAGTTACAGGTAAATAACCTCTTCTTCTTCTTTGGGGCCTCTGTGAATCCACACATATGGGTGACTAGCAAGCTGCACTTACTGGTTGGTGGGACGTCACAATAAGAAGGAGGACAGGACAGCTCTGCCAAATGCACCATCAAGGCATGCTCTGACGTCCAGTCAATATGCTTCACGAATGTGGATGGTGTAGACCAGGTAGCAGCACGGCACATGTCAGGAAGCTCTGTGCCACGGTGAAGGGCAATGGAGATGGATAGAGCTCTGGTGGAGTGAGCTGTCAGACGTTGAGGTGGAGATTCTCCTGGAAGTTGATAAGCGAAAGAGATGGTCTGTACTATCCGTCGTGTGATGGATTGAGAAGAAGCTGGTGCTCCTTTGTTGGGCCCATGAAAACAGACAAAAAATTTATTAGTTTTCCTGAAGGCTTTTCTCCTTTCCAGATAGAAGGCTAAAGCACACCTGACATCAACATTGTGGAGCATATGTTCCAACGGAGAAAATGGAGATCTGAAAAAGGATGGTAATATGATGGGCTGGTTCAAATGAAAGTCAGAAACAACCTTAGGCAAAAAT